CACACCAGACAAGGCACACCACACGTACTCAGTTGTTCCAGCACTTCCTCTATCACGTGGACTTTCTTCTGCAGCCGGACCCTGGGTTTGTCCAGAGTGCTCGAGCTTCTGCTGAGGCTGTCAGACAAGAGAAATGTCTCATCATCTGCATCTTCAGCTCCCAGCAGAGAGCTCAGGTGGATCTGTGGTGAGAAATAAATGTCAGGAAGGGAGCAGGCAGGGATCCCGTGAGTTTCTCTTCCAAATGCAAACCCTCAGGAAGATGCCTGTCAGCCATATCCAGTGCTTTTAAACTGCTTTTTGCTGTCCACATCACAAACTGAATGAACAAAACCAAAACAAGTTCATGGCCAGTTTCATGTTCAATTTTCATGGATTTTCTCACATAATCTGTACAGAGGGGCAGGTACATCCAAGAGACAATTTCTCCTGTATCCTTCAATTTCTCCTGTATCCTGCAACTGATGACTAAAGGGGAGTTCAACTGCAGTTTTCCAGGTGCCAGTGGCTGGGGTGAAGCACAATGTCATGGCAGGACTGTAGCCCTCAGCACCTCCAGCTGTGAATGGCAGCTGCTGGCCGAGCAGAAACTCTGAATTGCACCAATGGTAACCAAAGCTGGCACTCACTGATTCTCCTGAGGCGACAGCTGCAGGTTCCTCGTCCACCTCCTTCTCATTATCCTTTTGTCCAGGAAGAGAAGGAGCCAGCTGAGGTCCTGGTGGCAGTATTGTGACCTGGGGACAGGAGTGAGAGTCTCCCTTCTGCCACTTGGGAGGTTCGATAGATAAACACAACTTTCAGCTGCTTTGACATCAGAAACTGATCTAGAGATGCACGTGGTCCTACAGCCTCAGTTCTCTGTGCATGTGTCACAGCACAATTTAAATATCTATAAATTATGGGGGGGTTGAAACAGCCCCAGCTGCTGCTCTGCAGGGGCAGAGCATTACATCAAGTTGCCCCAAATTTGCTGTTTCCCAGCTGCTTTAAAGGTGTCACAAACTGCTTTAAAGGTGTCACAAAGGCCACTCAGAGAACTGAAGCAAATCAAAGGCACCATTCTGTGCCTTCACACCTCACTGGTGCTCTATTTAAAATGTTTAATATTAACCCTAATAAATTTGGCTAATAGTACTGTGGATGTCATTTCCCTCTCTAGGATTGTTATATCAACCCAACATTTATTAGTGTGGATTGTTATTTACAACTTGCTTTCAATGGTTCCAGTGAGTTACATTATCGATTATAAACTTATTTATGTTCAGCTATATAGCCAGCTGTACTAAAGATAAACCATGAAACTTACTAGAAAGGGAATTCTAAGTTGTTAAAACTAAATTAAAATGGGGCAATTATACAGTATTGAAAATTGCTGTGAATTAGATATTCCACCATGGCTAAACCCACAATCTTCCCCCTGCAAAACCAGACTTTCATCTGTTTAAAAGCTTTGAACAGAAATTGAGGAAACAGCCAGGGATCGCTTTGCTGCTGCTGCAAAACCCGACATGGACATTTTCTCAGGTTGGCACGCTGTTGGAGCAGGCAAAGCTCATTCACAGCTTCCTCCACAGTTCTTAAACTCTAGGAATGCCAAAGGTTCCTTTCCCACTCACCAAAGGAGGGGCTGCCATGTGTCCACCTCTGGATAACTGGATGATCAGATCTGCAGTGCGCAAGAGAAGATGAACCAGATGCTGTTAGAAAACTGCCTCTTGTGGGCATCCCCCATGGAACAAGTCAGCCCAAATAAGAGAGCATTTTATTTCACAACATCCCTCCTGGAGCAACAGTTCTTTTCTATAGTAAGCAACAGAACAGAACAAAATACCAGATCTTTTTTCTTAATTTTTCCATCTATTTTTTGTGCTGCTTCACCATTAAATAAATAGAAACTCAGTCAAGAAAATGTAAATTGCTCTTTAAAAGTCAATGATTCTGCTCTGCCCAGGAGCTAAAGTTTTAAAATGCATATGTTGGTTCTTTTTAGCTTGCTGAAAATGCTTCCCTAGAAAAGCTTTCCCAAAATCCCCTTAGCCAAGTGAATTCTATTCTGACACTGCACAGGAACAGCTCCGGGGTTCAGGAGCACACACTGTTGGGAAGTTGATTCCCCATGAAGGTCATCTCTATTTTAGCACAGGTTGTTAGTCAAATCCTTTCATTATGGGCAAAAAAAAAAGATGTTTTCCTTCAGTTCTGAAGATAATTGCACAGTTTTTAGAAGCATTTCTGACAAGCTCTTCAGTCTGCATTTTGGAAGCTGGCTGAAGCAGCAAAGGGAGGGAAATACAGACTCCCCAGACTGTTGTGTGTGGGGCATGGAACCCCCTACAGGGCTCCCCACACTCCAAATGCTGTTCCCATTGAGACACCCCTTTTAGCAGAAAGTTGTTGACAGGAGCTCTACCAAACCAATGCCATCTGACTGTCATTGCTGTTCCAAAATCAGCTCAGTTCCTAAGGAAGAGAAGAAAGAGCACAGTGATCCCAAAGCCAGATACGCTGCACCTCGGGCAAAGCACTACTTACTCCCCAGATGAGCTGTCACCAGCCAGGGTTTATCTGGATAAAAATACACTGCAGAGGCGGCAGACAGAAAACCACACGCTGTGGCACCAACTTGCTGGATCATTTCTGCAGAGCCGTGCTAGAACTCGCAGAGCAGCATAACCCAACAGTCAGCTAAAAACCTCACTGGTTTGCAGGCAGCCCACTGAGAACTCCTGGAGGAGGAGGATCCTCCTGGAATGCCAGGAGAAGGGGGCATTAGGAGTTCTGGATTGCAGGAACGGCAGTGTCTGTTGGCACTGTGGGGACTTGCCAACCCTGCAGTGACACCCCAGCGGGCCCTGACATCACAGTGGCAGCAGCTGCACGTTCACGCTCTCTGGAGAGGTCCCAGGCGGCTTCTGGAGCAGCTGGATGCTCAATTTTGCTCCTTCTGGAGCCTGACATCCCTTCATGGCATTGAGATGTCAACCTTCCTCCTGATGCAAAGCTCCTATTTCTGCCTGGAACTCACCTGGAAATCAACTCTGTGCTTCCATGGAGTAAGGGTTTTAGGCTAAACTCATTTTCTGGTGATTCTTTGATTCCACAACAAAACTCTTCTCTATTGGTAGACAAAGCAGTGCCTTCAGGAGCTTTGCACTGGACTTTTGATGCTCAGAAAGAGAAACATCTTGCTGAAATGATCCCTGCTGTCCGATTAGAGGGTAAACCCCACCCTGATGGAATTAATTTTCAGCACACCAGAGACCACTGGGGAAAGACTGCCTCTCACAATCCTAACACTGAGGTGCTAAGGACTCTACAGGTCCAGCCCCTGTAGCTCTGCTGTCAATGTACAGAACACAGAGCTTGGAAAACTCCAGATGCCCCTGCTAAAACACATTCCTTGGATGTGAGGGAACCCTGCAGGATCAGCTCCCTCAGTGGACAGACAGCTCTTCGATCCTTCCCCTCTCCAATTTCTGTGTGCACAGAAGATGTGCTCAGGCTCTGAATAGCTTTTCTCTCTGCAACAATGGAATATCAGGGCCCTTTCAGAGCATAATTTCATCCATTTCTCTCCCTTCCACCCTCTCATGAATTACTAATTTAAAGTGACTTAATATCTATTCTCTATTCCCCTTCGGCTTTGCATATTTTAATTATGCCTCTTCCTAATCCTCATTTTCCCAGAACAGACTTAAATAACCCAAATTACCCCATCAGTAACTGTCTTTGATACCTCAGTTATTGCAGCTAATTTGCCACTTTTGCCAAACATGCTATTTTTGAGGGTTTTTTTCTAACACCAAGTGATCACACACTGTGTTCTACTAGCTTTTACCTACAAACCAAAGTGATCTGCTGCATGAAATGACATCTCCATCAAAATTTGCTTTTTTAAAAAGTATTATTGCTGCCAAATCATTTCCTGGAAGATTTTAGTGACATTTTGCAGCATTATCTTGGATGGTCAATGGCAGGTGAGGACAGTGGTGTTGTTGGGAGAAATCCTGATTGTCTCTGCTCAGCCTGAGGATTGCTCCAGTTCAAAAACAACCAATCTCCTTTGCAAAAGGATTTTTCTGCAAAACTCTGAGGCTTTTGTCAGAATGCAATGTTTGCCAAGAGAGGAGCATTCACACAGCTATTTCTGCAGTGAGAGGGCATCTTTAGCCAAGGCAATAAATAACTACTGGTCCCAGAGAGCTGCTGCCCACAGGCTCAGGAGGGGCTGCAGCCCATGCTTGTGCAGCACGAGGAAAACAGCCCCAGGTACATTAGAAAGCCCCTAAAAAGAAAACAAGCTCACACTCATAGTTAATAATGCAGATATTGGATCTGTCATATTATTTTAGGAGGCAAGGAAAATGTGACCTTGGCGTTTTTATTAAGCTTTTCCTCTGTCACTTTGAAGCAAACTTTTGAAGGGTGAAATTCCATTTATTTTCAGGAAATACAGATCCCAGGGGCAGGGGACAAGCAGACAGGGAGGGGCTGCAGGAGCAGACTGTGCCCCTGGAGCTGTGACAGAGGCAGACTGCCAGGCACTGGGCACAGTCTCAGTGCCTGCCTCATCAGGGTCCTGCTGTTCTCCCAGTTTGGAAGGAAGCTCCTTGCAATCCCATCCTTCTCTGCTCCAAGCAGGGCCCAGCCCCAACCCACTAAGTGTCCTCAGCAAGAGCAGGAGTAAGAATGGCATTTGAGCACAAGGCATCAAACCAAAAACCAAACCATCCGGACAAAAAATGCCAGCAATGAACATGGAGCAGGATTCTGAGCTGCCCCAGGGCTCTTGGACCTGTGCAGGATATTCTGAGCTGCCCCAGGGCTCTTGGACCACACTTCAGTGTAAATGTGGTACTGAGATCACCAAAACAAAGAGAGCAAAGCCCAAAAGTGCCATGAGCTTCTGAGGAGTGGGGAGCACCACCTGGGGATGAGCCACCAGAATTGCTCCAGGCCTGGGTTTTACTTTCCACCTGCTGAGGCAGGGAGATTTATCCAGCTTCAAGCATGAAAGAGCATGTCATGTTTGCAGTCTTCCCTGCTTCAACAGTGATCTTCTCATCCCTGGCAGCTTCCCTTCTCCATGAGCATCCATCTGTTAGGAAATATTTGGGAAAAAAAGTTACTTAAATAACTAGCACTCAGGAACGATTCCTTTTTCCAGAATTTCATTTGGTGTTACGTGAAGAGCTCTTTCCGTGCGTGTTATCAAGAAATTTGCTCATTTGGGCTTTCCCACTAGCAGAGTGATGTGCATGGGGTGGCTTTACTTTGCCCTGCTTGTGCAGCTGTGCAAGGTTTACTTTTACCATCACACATCCCGCACATCGGCACTTGGAACGCGTTCCTGCTGAGCCGAGAAGGACACACCGGGACAGCTTCACGGCAAGGGATCCACAGCCTGCAGCTCCGAGCCCACCTCAGCTCGGGGCTCTGACTCCCCCGAGCTCAGGAGCTCCCCTCACTGCGCACCCTGCAGTCCCCATCCCTACACACGGAGAAGGGGAGGCCCCTTATCAGTGTGGTGACAGAGCCCACTAATAACCAGACTAATCACCCAACACTCCAGAGCCCACTAATAACCAGACCAATCACCCAACACTCCAGAGCCCACTAATAACCAGCCCAATCACCCAACACTCCAGAGCCGCCCCCGCTGCCTGCAGGGAGAGCGCCCCAAAGGCCGAGCCCCCCGCTGTCCCCTCTGCCCTCACACAGCGGGGCCCCGCTCGGGTCACCCCGCAGCCCTCCCTGCCGCCACAGGGGCTCACCCAGCGGCTCCGCTGCCTCCCCTCACGGCCCCGCACCGCCCGTCCCCAGCGCCGCCACAGCGGCCCCGCAGCCCCGTCACTGCCGGGGCCCCCTCACCTGCTGCCGCGCTGTCGCTACTGGGGTGGTCGCGCAGCTGCATCCCGTTAAGGCGGAGGATGCCGGAGCTGCCCGCCTCCTCCAGGGATGAGAAGGAGAGGGCGAGGTGCGCGGGACCCCAGCCGCGCCGCTCCGGTGCCGCTCGACTCCGGTCCCCGTCCCCCACCCGGCCGCCATCTTGGCACGGCCCCCACCGGCCCCTCAATAACCACGGGGCCGTGGCCTTTGCCCGCCCCGCGGCCCTCTCACCAATCGGAGTTGAGGGGGCGGGGCTAGGCGGGGAGCAGGGCGGGGCTGTGAGCCGCGGGCCGCCAGGGGGCGCTGCCGGGCCGGGACTGAGGGTCCTGAGGCGGGGAGAGCCCGGGAACGGGAAACTGGGAATGGGGAACGACTGGGAATGGGGAACGACTGGGGTCGGGGAACGACTGGGAATGGGGAACTGGGAATGGAGAGAGACTGGGAATGGGGAACGACTGGGAATGGGGAACGACTGGGAACGGGGAACTGGGAATGGGGAACTGGGAATGGGAAACTAGGAATGGGGAACTGGGAATGGGGAACAACTGGGAACGGGGAAACTGGGAATGGGGAAACTGGGTCTGCGGAGAGATTGGGAATAGAGAGAGACTGGGAATAGAGAGAGTCTGTGGTTGTGGGGAGACTGGGAATGGGGGAGACAGGGAATGGGGGAAATGGGGATAGGAAGGAGACATGGGTCCCTCCTTGGGCCCAAGGTCACCTGCACCAGGTGCTTCAGAGCATCGCGTGTCTGGAAAACAGGAAAAATACCAAGCAAAGAATCTTCATGGCAGAACAAAGGGAAGGGAGCCTGGAAGAGCAGTTTTGTTCTCTTCATCTTCTCAAGAAGACAGTTTTCAAGTGACACTGTGCTGTTAATAGGACATAATCGCATCAACAATAAATCATGAGCTCTTGGTGGTGGAGTGGCACTGAGGAGCTGTCCTGGGAATGCTCCTGTGGTTCCCTTCATCTATTAAAGGCACAAACATTGAGTGCAAAATGCAGAGTACCACGGGAGCCCTGGGATTTCTGGCACTTGAGCCGTTCTGGTGCAGGGTGGAGATCCTCCACAGCCTCAGATACAAATGTGTGCATGCAGATACTGAACGGTTCCTGCCATGTATTCCCACAGCTACCCTGGCTTGGTCCCCAAAAAACATTTACTTGCAGTGGAATCATGTAGGTTTAGGTCCATTCCACTGAAAGTGAACAGTCATATATATATTTTGTTATTACATATTTATAAACTGTGATATGAGGTTCCTTGTTTTTGCTGTTGTTTAAAACAAAACAGAAACTACCAAGGGAAATAGAATTAAAGAGTCATGAGGGTTGGAAAAGGCCTCTAGGATCAATCACCAAGCATCAGCACTGTCACCAAGCTCAGCATTGAGCCGTGTCCTCAGCTGCCATACCCACATGGATTTTGAACACTTCCAGGGATGGAGATTTCTCCACCTTCCTGGAAGCCTGTTCCAGGGCGTGACAACCCTTTCCATGGAGAAGAGTGTGAGAGAATCCTGCTAAGTTTAAAGACAGAGAAAGGAAATCATTCCAAAATTATTGTTCTTATACAAAACTCTTTTTGTTTCTGGTAGGAACATTAGATGGCATAAATGGTTCTTTTATGAATGCACCTTTCCCATCCCAGCGAGTGCAGTTTGATTTTTCCCTCGCTGCTGTTGTGAGAGTACAAGGGTTTAATGCAATCCTAACTTGCCACCTCGTGGCGTTTCTATGCATTAGCACAGTTCAGTTTCCTGGAGTCAGTTTATTATTGTGTTCATTTCCTTAGGAGAGGGTTCCTGTTTGCCCATTCACCCTCCCAGCCAGGGAAAACCAGCTGGGGGCTGTTCTGCAGCCTGGAGGGGCAGAGAGGTCACAGATGGCTGGACCAGGTGCTGAGTGGCTGCTGGAATTGTGGCGGACCAGAGGAAATGTGACACATGCCAGAAGATAAAACAGGGATACCAGACACAACAGCATCTATTCATTTTTAATTAATTATTTTCTCTATTGTATGGAATATTCCTTTGCTTTTAGAGCAATGCCTATGTTTTCGTGCTGGGAAATGTTGGATTGTTTTATCTTTGTAGGCAGCAGGAACATGAAATTGCAGGGAGGAAAAACCCCACAGGATCACCTACAGTTTTCCTTGTTCCTGCTTAGCATAAAAGTGCAAATTTAAATCTTCTTCACAAATATGTGTAGCTCAACAGAATTTTGCTTTCTTGATAATATTCCAGTTGCTGTTATTGAGATGGAGGGGGTTTCTGCTCTGTTTATTTTTCTCAGTAACAATTAGAACTATGCTTCTTTCTTTCAGCTCTTTATTAACATGTTTGGGTTTGGTTTTCTTTGTGAGAAAGAAGACAATATGCCAGGGTGACTTTCTGAACAATTTTTTTTTCACTTGAATGTAGGGATTGAATTTTTATCAGATAATCTTTCACTAGCACAGAAAGTTAAGAGCTTGTAGAGCTCCCAAAGGGAATTATTGTCTTTTGTATGGAGTGGCCTAAATGCTGATTTATCAGTGCTGAAAGTAATCTGGATCTTCATTCTTCTATTTCTCATCTTCCTCCTCTCCCCTTTCCCCTCCAAAACAAAGCCCTGACCCTCACAAGCTTTGTTTCTAGAGAAGAACACATTCCAACACAACATTAATACCAGTGATAAATGAATAATGAATTGCCTGTGCTTGCCTGTCTGCTGGGGCGAGGACTGCCGTGTAAGAAGTTGACCCAGCAGAGCTGCAGTCAGGCTGCTGGAGCCTCTGCACCAATCCCTGCTGGACTCACTGCTCTCCAGATGAGACCTGGAGTCATTACACTGCACTTCACCGATTGCCTTTTCTCCTGCTGCTAATTGTTACTTTTTTTTTCTTTTTTTTCTTTTTTTTTAATAATTTTTGTTCTTTTCCACTTTGGAAAAGAAAGAGTTGGCTGGCTGCTAGTAGTGAGAGTACTTTTTAAATTTAGTATTGGATGAATTTAAACAAAATTGTTAAGAATTGATAATTGATAATTTTTTTGATAATTAATAATTGATAAATCAGCATTTAGGCTCCTCCACAAGAAAGAAGCTGTTCTAAACAACCATTTGATTTATATTCCAGTCTTATGCTGCAGAAACAGTCTTGGGTTTGTTCTTTTTAAGGTTCAGGTAAGAATTCTAGGGATTTCCTGGCTATCAGAGAGTTACAGAGTCATAGAATATCCTGCTTTGGAAGGGACCCACAAGGAGCACCGATGTCCAGCTCCTGGCTGGCCTTAGGGTTTTCCTGTAACCACAGAATGGGACCACAAGAGGTCAACAGCGACCTGTAATGGCTAATACCCCTTCTTCCTGTAGATGAAATACATTATAATAAAAACACCAAATTAAACTAGATTTTCTAGTTATTTTAGAGAAGATCTTCTATTGTTTATAGATTGTTAACAATCTCTTTTTCTGAAGACATTTGAAGGGTGATGATCTAGCACTCATTAATTAATCTGTTTGCCTTTATACAGAAAGGAAGATATCAAACACTAAGTAAATTATCAAGAATTGTATGTTTTTTAGAGATCATGATTGGTTTTGTTCATATAATAATAAAATAGGCCTACATTCATTGTGTGAAATTTGTCACCGTGGCCATTAATGTGCAAATTTATTTCTATATCTACATACATTTTAAAAAATTCACTGAGATGTTAAAGTGGCACATTGATTTCTTTCTTAAAACTTGAATATGTTGTGTAAGGCTAAGACTTCCCAGCTGATCACCCTCTGACAGCTTTTATTGTAGCTGTTTGTGTTGATAGAAAGGAAGCATTTACACACCCCCAGCATTTACTTTATTAGCACCTAAACTTCAGTCTGTGCAGCTGAAAACTGCATTTTTTCCTCACAACCCCCTTTTTTATCATTCTGTGTCTCTTAATCTCTTTCTCCTTCATCAATCAGATGAAGACCTCAGAATTAGCTGTTCTCCAGGTGAAAAGGCTGGATGAGGGTAACACCCCAATGGTTTGGGAAGGGGCATGAAAGCTCATCCAGTTCCACCTTCCACGATCTCAGGTTGCTTCAAGCTCCGTCCAGCCCAGCCTTTGACAATTCCAGGGATGGGGCAGCCACAGCTTCTCTGGAAAACACTGTAATAGCAAATACAATATAAAAAAAAGGTCTTGTAATACTTTCCACCTGAATGACACAAGTATGATATAATAATAATAATAATAATAATAATAATAATAATAATAATAAATAACTGATGTAACAAGGAATTACTGTTGCATATTTGCTCCTTTTGCATCCACAGGTAATTCAGCAAGTTCCCCTTAAGTTTTGAAAAAGAAAACATTTTCATATACATGCTTTCGGAAGCTTTAAAAACAGGGGATGCCTTGAATAAAGAGAGTTCAATTAGAGGAAGTAATTTCAGAATATAATTGATAATTTTTAAGTAAATGTGGCCTTGTAACAGAATGCAGATGGCAAACCCACTCTGCAGCCGACCCTGGGCTGTGATGGAGAAACAAGCAGGAGGTGCAATACATTCTATTAATTATTTTCACTGCTACAGTTGTTTGCTATATAATACAGGTCAACAGGGGTTAGCCTGAAGCTTCTCCTAATATATTAGTAAATAAATTTGAACAGATTTTAATTTGCTAATGGAAAGGTCTGAGCCAGTTGCAAATAAGAGTGGAGCTACTTTGTCTTGCTCATTGCTATGCAACATGGCTGCTGCCAGCCATTCATACAAAATGTTACATTTCCATAAAGCACAATGTAATTTGTCACAGAGAAAAGGGGAAAAAACCCACAAAAAATAACAACAACAACAATAAAAAATCCCAACTCTGTAAACTATATTAAAGATAAATGTGTATCATGGAGCAATCCCCCTCATGGAGCCCATAGAATGTTGAACACCTGCCCTTGCAGGCTTGCCAAAACATCCAGCATGGAATCTTTGTGATACTTACATGTTTCAGGGAGAAATAAAAATAAGATATGCTGTTTCCAAGGGGTAAAAACAAGAGTGAGCCTTTTCCCACATGTCCTGTTGATTTCTCAGCCGTGCTCCAGCTCACATGGCTTCCAGTGCTGCACATCCACACAAATGTAACGCGGCACGAGATGCATCGACTGCTTGTTTCTCAGTCTCTTTCTGCCCATAACAACAATCCCTA